AAAAAACACTGCAAATAAGAATAACTTAGGACAATGGGGTCACCTCTTGGTGTACAGTACTGGATTTACAATAACAAGGGCAGTAAAAATGGACACTGAGGTCACTTTATGTAAGCCGATGATCCTTCGGAGGACATCAGATACTTGCTTTTCATAAACGTTTTAGGTTTGGGCTTTGTAATAAATAGGTAATAAATATCTGCAGGCCATCGTACGCTGAGAGCTTATCTTTCTCCATTGGAAAGTCTTTCTCCAGAGTCATAATGTCTCAAAGGCAGCCCATTGGGCGGGGAGTTGGGATTCTGCAGGAAGTCCATTAACAAGGTAATCTTATCATCTATGTGCTCCTGGAGTTGGAGTATTCGCCGATCAATGTAGTCCACAAGTTTCTTTTCCATCAGTTCCATATTTTTAGAAAGAATCTTTTCCAAGTAGGAGCAAATAGGCTGTTCTTCCACTCTAAAAATAAGTTTTAAAAGTCTATCAATTTTCCCCACTATTACAACAAAAACAAGCAAGCTATGCAACCAGTGGCCAAGGAACATGGCTGAAACTTGTCTCCACAACTGCACTGCTCCTGTGACTCATTTCCAGGTTGCAAAACACATGCAATAGGTGACCACAGCCCTTAATGCCCAACACACTCCTTACTTCTTATTAAGTATTCAGTTGAAGTGGGAACATAAAAATGAAGACACATCTTCAAAAACAAACCTTGGGGAATGCCCTTTTTAAGTTCCAAATAAAAACTGATTTTGCCCAATTAAAAAAAAAAAAAAATGTATCTTTTCCAAGTATTCTTTCAAAGCAACCCTCTAATTCATATAGCTTTTTCCTCTTAAATACAAACAACCTTACTAAAACACTAGAAGGTTCTTTGCTAACCTGATCTGAAAATGTTTATGAATTTAACTAGGATGGACAAACAAAAATTAATAGGATCAAAAGTACACCGATTTCTAAAAATCCACAACGCTTAGGGTTTCCATAATTCTTTCAGGAGCTCAATGAGGAAAAAGTACTTTTCCAGAGCCTATACAAATCAAGGCTGTGAATTCTCTTTAGAATTTCCTCAGGTAGTAGATTTACTGTATAAATATGTATGTTTTCAGAGGTTAACTATTCTCGGTATTCCTACTGTTCTCATACTAGCTATGTTTAATTACACATGCTATAGAGGAACATGTATGAGAATGTGCCCAAAAGCTAATATAGATTTGCATAAATTTAAAACAATATTCTTCTTGTTACATGTTTTGAAAGTTTGACTATTTCTTATTTACGTTGACATGAAAAGGTTTAATTATTATTTTTAAACAAATATTTTATATAGCTGTAAAACTAAAAGATTTTAGGAGTCCTCAAGATTGTAAACGCCAATAAGTTTGATCTTGGCATAATGCCCTGCGGAGCCATTTAAATTGTTGTTCATGATATGGATGCACCCCAGTCTGTTTAACCATTCGCCTACCATGAGACATTTTGATTGTTTTTTGTTTGGCACTACTACAAATAAAGTTCTCATGAACAACTGCGTAGAGCTTTTTAATGTTGCCACATCTTTTCATTTCTTTGGGATAAATGCCCAGGATTAGGACTAATGGGTTGTATGGTTTAACTGTGTGTTTAGTTGTTAAGAAACTGCCCAGATATGTTTTTAGGGTGGTTGTACCATTTTAATTCCCGCCAGCAAGGAATGAGATCCAGTTTCTCTATATGCTTGTCAACATTTGGTATTCTTATTGTTTATAATTTTAGTCATTCAAATAGATATATAGAGATATCTTGTGGGGGTTTTTTAATATTTATTTTTTAGTTATAGGTGGACACAATATCTTTATTTTATTTTTATGTGGTGCTAAGGATCGAACCCAGTCCTTCACGCATGGTAGGCGAGCGCTCTACCTCTGAGCCACAACCTCAGCCCTACCTTGTGGTTTTAATAAGCATTTCTCTAATAACAGTGAAGTCACTGTTGATCATCTTTTCCTGGGCTTATTTGCTATTTATATATCCATCCTCCTGATGATTCTTCACATCTATTATCCATGTTCTAATTAGATGGTATTTTAAAAAACAAATCTTGCAAATCCTTCATACATTTTAGATACAAGGCATTTGTTGGATTCGTGATTTACAAATATTTTCTCCCAGTCTGTATTAATCCTCTTACTGGGGCCTTTCATATGTAAAATTTGTAAATATTAAATGGGCTCTACATACATATTTTATGGATCATGCTTTTGGTGACCTCAAAGAATTCTCTTCCTAGGTCCCTAAAAATTTCTCCCATAGATTAAAAAGATTTTACAGTTTTATACTCAACATTTTAGCTTATGCTCCATTGTGTGTTAATTTTTCATATATCTGCATTCATCGTTCATTTTTTAGCCTGTGACTCTCCATTTGTTCCAGCATCACATGCTAGACGATCATCCTTCCTCCACTGAATGACTTTTGCACGTTGGTAGAAGGCCGACAGGTATACTTCTGTAGAGCGATTTCTGTGCTTTCTGTTCTATTCTGTTCATCTATGTGTCTAGCTGTCTTGCCAAAACAGACTCTTGAAATCCAGTAGTGATTTCTCTCTATTCTAATTCCAGTACTGTTGTCTTTCCACTTAGAATTTTCCACTTCCAAATTTTGGAATCATCTTATTCATATTTACAAAAAATACATTTTGAACTTCTGATAGAAATTGTGCTAAACATATATATATATATATAAAAAATTAATGGAAAACTGACATTTTTACTGTTGAGTCTTCAACAGTACCATGAATACGGTATATTGCTCCATTTCTTTGGGTCTTCTTTCATTTCTTTCATCAGTATTTAACAATTTTCAGGTCATAAGGTCCTCTATGTCTCTTGTCAGATTTATATGTACAATTATGTTTTACATTCATTTATATGTACTTATTTCTTTGGGGATAATTTAGTCTGGGTAGCAGAGTAATGCTGGCTTCATGAAATGAGTTGGGAAGTCTTCCCTCCTCTTCTATTTTTTGGAAATGTGTAAAAGTGGTTTTCTTTAAATGTTTGGCAGAATTCTTGAGTGAAAGCATTTGGGAAAGGACATTTCTTTTTCACGATCTCTTCAATTTTGAATATAGTATTTAGTGGCCATAGAAGTGTTCCATTATTTATTTCATGTTGGTTGAGTTTGATAATTTGTGTTTTTTAAGGAATTAATCCATTTCCTCCTAGTTGTCAATCAAATTGTTACAATATTCCCTTATCTTTATTATGGCTCGAGGCCCTGTAATGGTATTTCCCATTACATTCCTCAGATTGGTGATTTGTGTCATCTCTTATTTGCCAGTCTTGCTAGAAATTTGTCAATTTTACTGACATTTTCAAAGAACCAGCTTTTTAATTGATTTTTTTTTCAATTAAATAGGTTTCTGTTCTTTATTGTTTCATTCTTCTGCTTGCTTTGGGTTCCTTTTGCTTGGCTTTTAAATGAAAAATTCAATTTCTTTAGTGCTTATAAGACTATTCAGATTATCTATTTCATTTTTATTGAGTAGCTGTAGTTTTATAGTATTGATTTGAAAACTCTGCTCTTTTCTAATGCAAGCATACAGTGGTAAACAAGTTCTTAGCAAAACCTCTTTAGCTGAATCACACAAATTTTGATCTATTGTTATTTTCATATATTCGTAAAAAAAATTTTCTGTTGAGACTTCTTGAATCATAGATTTACAAGTGTTGTTTAGTTTACAGGTGTTTTGTCAATCTAAATGTCTTGTCTTTCTGTTATAGATATGATTTCTTGTCTTTTGTAGCCAGAGAAAGCACTTTCTATGATCCAATCCCCTTAAACTTCATTAGGTGTGCTTTACGACTTATCATATAATTTATCTTTGTGAATCTTCAAAAAAAAAAAAAAAATATACTCTGCTACTGTTGGCAGAGAGTTCTATAAATGCCAACTGATCCTGCTGGTGGTTAGTGGTATTTAGTTCCAAACTAATATAACTATCTCATTTTTAGATGAAAATTCTAAGAGAGATTAAGTATAGAAAATAAACGAAAACTATGACCAAAGTCCTGAATTCCAATCTAGAATACTATTTTGACACACTATATTTGTGAAAAGGATTAAGAACATACGAAGTCCTCAGCCACTTCTTATTGAAGCATGTTGTCAAGGTAAGGGATTAAGAGACTAGAGCATAAAAACTTGTATCCTACAGATAATCACCATCCTAAAATAGTTTTTGATAATTCCAAAGTTAACCTAGACCAAATATAATCTACAAAGCAATGACATGCTTAGTATACCCAGCTAGAAAAACAATGTAAAGATCATTATTACCACAGCACCTTTCCACTCATGCAAATAGCCTTCTACTCCAACCCACAACTGTTGCTGGTAACCCTTCCACCAAATGCCCGAGAGGTGTGCAGCACCTTCAGTTATAGGCACTTCTGTCACAGCCATGCATTTCTCTCTGGAGAACAGTTATTGCCCACAAGCGTGTTCATGGTAAAATGCAAAAACTGCTCAAATTTTCTCTGGAAAGATTGTTCATTGAGACAGATCTGTTTCCCCTTCATCTGATTCTCTCACCTACCGGCTATAAACCTCATTTGTAACCACATTTGTCTTGAGATAAAATACTCACGCAACACCAACAATGCCTTCACGGGGCTTGGAGACGTTTTCCTGCCACTTGGCGTTATGTCCCACGCGAAGATGGTTAACTTGACTGCACAGATTTTGGAGAAAGGGCAGCAACTCAGAGCTGGGCAGTGAGCCGTCACTCGCCTTCTTTGGTAAGAAAGAAGATACTGCATTTTTAAGATCATTCTCAAGAAGGGAATGGTTTTGTGGCACAGTTTTACACCTGTCGCGGCTGGTGGTATTTCCTTCCCCAGGTGGCCTGGTGCTTTTGTCGATGAAAGCCTGTAAGGTTTCAGTCCTGTTTGCAGATGTCAATTCAGTTCTAAAAGGGAAAGGTGTGGAGGATGACTTGTCCAAGGCTCCTGAAGTGGACGATGGCTGGAGTGCAATCATATGCTTATACCCGGTAGTTCCCAAAACTGACTGAAGCTGCTCTCCAATGGGAATACAATTCTAAAAAAGGTAAATAAGAAAATGTTAAGATTAAGGAGGACAGTTCACTGTGGGAGTCATTACTGGGCACTGTGCAATCCTTCCTTTGATCCTCAGGAAGTAGGCTATTACTATTCAATATTAAGTGACCCAGTCAGAAGGTCCCTGGCCAAGGTAACCAGTTGGTAAGTGGCAGAACCAGGACATAAATCCAAGCAACCTAACTCCACAGGCAAGACTTAACATTATTTTCTAAAGAAAATAAATACTAAAATTGCATAGTAAATTTGCAGTGACATATTTTAGTATTTTACCTACAAAGTCCTCCTTAATTCATGACAATAAAAATGTGATACTTTCAACTGAGTTACAATGATTGATCATTTTCTTAGAACTCAATTATGTCATTCCCCAACTTTCAACATATGGTTGAAAAGCTATTCGTTTTCACCTGGCCATATCTTTTGCCATGAGTTTTTAATGGAGGCTATACACTATTTAAAGCTGGATATTCTATGTATATCCTTGTGATATTTTCTTTTTTTTTAATTAATTAATTAACTTACTATTCTAATTAGGTATATATGACAGCAGAATGCACTTTGATTCATCGTATACAATTGCAGCACAACTTTTCATTTCTCTGGTTGTACATACACGATATGGCCTTACACATATGTGCAGCACCATATGTACATGCGCTTAGAGTAATGATGTCCACCTCATTCCACAATCTTTCCTACCCTCCAGGCCCCTTCCTTTCTCCTCCCTCCCCTAGGCCCAATCCAAAGTTCCTCCATTTCTCATATGCCCTCTCCCACCCCCCATTATGGATCAGCATCCACTTATCAGAGAAAACATTTGGCCTTTGGTTTTTTGGGATTGGGTTATTTCACTTAGCACTGTGACATTTTCAATAACTAAAATGAGCTACCACTTGTCTGTGTTTAAGAATTTCCACCTTAATAAGAATTAAAGACCTAGGGATGTGGCTCAGTGGTAGAACACTTGCCTGAAGTGTGTGAGGTCCTGGGTTCAATCCCTACACCAAAATAAAAAAACCAAAACTCCATATTGGTACCATGACTAAATTGCTTATGTGTTTTTCTTTCCTTTGTTTCTTGAGATTTTATGTTGAAGTATACTATCTTCTTCTTCAGGTTTTCAATTTTTCCACTAAAGAAAAACCAAATGACCTCTAACTGAATTGTTTGTGTGAAGGCATATGGAGCTCTTAAATTCAAAACGTAGAAGCCTACTACAGGTTTTTATCAGGGTTTATCATCCCACACTTACTGCTATTCAGTTTTTGAAAGATGGGCTGAAAAGTGATTATCAAGATTAGCTAAAGAAGTTCCGTTCATACATTCATCTAGATATTCTATTCTGAGATCAAGCTAGATCTACATTCATTTATTCAAAAAATGTTTACCAGAAATTTATGTGTTAGGCTCCACTTGAGGTATGAGAAATATGGCAGTGAATCAAACAAATTAAAATCTCTGACCTCTTAGAGTCTTAAGATAGAAGGGAGAGACTGCCTGAAAAGGACGGAGGGAAAGACAGGAGGGATGAGGAGAGAGGAGGAGGAAATACATCATGGGATGTAGGTGGTGACAGATACTTCAGGGAAAAAATCAGGCAGGAAAGGGGATAATGAGGGCCAGGGAAGTGGAGGCAGAGGCACCTGTGATAGCAAGTACCCATCCAACATATCTTACAGAAATGCACTTTGGAAAAGGCTCTATATAGAGAAATGCTAGCCTATTGTCATTTTTTCTTGTTCTATTCCAAGTTTTGAATAAGTCTTAAAATATTCCTGGAATAAGATGGGTTATATTTCTAATATTTTAACATTAGACAACATTCTTTTAGCTCAAAGGAGCTTTACTCAGTCATCAGAGAAGATTTATTTCTGTATGAGACCACTCATATGATCTAGCCTGTAAAAATCCTTAAAAACAGGCTATACACCAATTGATCAGTTTTGCATCCTAGAAAGTGCTCAAACCAGCCCATAATTCATCAAAGTTGCTACTTGCTGAATGATGGGTGAATGAATTAATGAAAAATGGTGAAGCTGTCCAGTCAAAACTTTTTATATGAGGGTAAGTCTACAAAATATGCCTTTTGCAAACTATGAACAGATGACAGTTAAATCAATAATAAAAATTAAAAATTTAGCTGGGTGCAGTGGTGCACACCTGTAATTCCAGCTATTTTGGAGGCTGAGACAGAAAGATTGCAAGTTCAAGTACAGCCTAAACAACTAAGCAAAACCCCATCTAAAATAGAATAAGAAGGGCCAGGGAGGTAGTCCAGCACTAGAGTGCTTGCCTAGTATGCCCAAGTCCCTGGGTTCAATCCCTAGTATCACAGAAAAAAGCTTTAAAAAAAAAAATACTGCATTTCCTCATTAAAGGCCATCATTTTGAAATGATTTTTTACTGCTATGTGGAAAGAAAAACATTTCTACTTACCTGCTGTTGAAACCTAACCATGTTCATTAGCTGCTGAGCTCCAGGTGATAACTTTGACCCCATGGACTCCATTATGGTTTGGACCTTGTCAAGGTCTATCCTTGATCCTAGAGCAGGAGAGCTTGGTGAAGAATTTCCTGAAACTGGTTTCATGTGTACCACAACCTTACTGATGAACACACACTGTTTTTCACCAAAGGACAGCAACTATTATGAAACAAAAAAGTCCAGGAAATATAGGTATTAAAACCAATCATTTAAAGTCACTTCCTAGTATTACCAAATCAAGAGTGAAATATTCAAGAATCTAACAGTCTTAATCTCAAGCATGTTTTTAAGTTATCTTTAGAATAGTCATAGATAGAAAAATTTCTATTTTAACATAAGGCTCAGATTAACTAATTAAATCAAGAAATCCTTCTCAAACTAATATACAGAAAATAAGTCTGAGTAGATTAAATATAGTTTTACTTAATTTAAGGCATTAAAAATAAACAGTCTGAGATCTTAACATGCCACAGTTTGGTATAATATTATTTAATACAAAATATAACTGTCTAGAGGCCCAAGCAGTATTTACTGAAATTATAGACACAATTCAGTCTTTCAGGATTTAGAACTGTAAGGAAATGTTAAAAATCAGAGCTTACAGTCTAAATCCTCTGGTTCTATCCCTGTAACTTTTTTTCTTTTTCTGCAGTGTTGGGCATGGAGCCCAGGGCTTCAAGCATGTGGAGCAAGGGCTCTACCACTGAGCTGTACTCCATGTGTGGTCCATAAAACAGAGTAGTAAAATGAAAGGGAAGAGATTTGGATCAGACACATCTGGGTTTAAATTATGACTCTGCTGCTCAACAGCCTGGGTGACCCTGGGCAAATGCTCACACAGGGTAAAACTAAAATCAAGTCAGTAAAATGAGAGATGGCTTATGTGTCAAAATATCCAGTATCTATCCCTGAGGAAGTGCTCAAAAGTCTGTATCAGGAACACTTTATTTTTATCTTAACCTTCCATATGCTGTTGTCCCAGAACACACTTTCATACATAACCCAGGGGTTCCATGAATGAACCAACCCTTCGTTTCCATACACAGTTACAAAAAATGTTCACCAGAGCGACACACACAGACCCACGTGTCAATAGGTAAATGTACACCTATGCTCTAAAAACTCTTTTAAGTGTGTAACCAAATATGTGACAGTCTTCAACAATCAGGGAAACACCCATTACATTTATCTTACATCCCAACCTATTCTCCCCCTTCTGCTTTGTTATAACCAAACACTTTCTCAACATCAAATATAGGATCTGTTTCACTCATTGAGCATGCTTATTACCAGTCTTGCCCCAGTAAAATATAAGCAACATGAGGACAGGTATTTCAATTTATTTTACTACTGGTAATTCCTAAATGCCTCATATAGTATCTGGCATCAAATATTCACAGAATGAATGAATCACTTTAATCAGTTCTGTGATTGAAGAACATTTATTTTGTTCTTCAATGAAAGAAAATCACTAATTTTACCTTATTCTAAAACTAAGTCTCACAATTTCCCATAAGTGATGATAATAAGTATAGATTTTTCAGAGTCAAAAAGAACCCAAGAATTTTCTTTCTTCAGTTCTCTAATTTTACTCCCGAAGTATGTCCAAACAAGCCAAGAAGCTTGCTCAGACTAGTGTGACAGCAACAAAGCTGAGTTAATATTCTGGCTCTGTATTTCTCATGATTCCTAGACTTTGACATCACCACTAATGCAAACCTTAACAATCTTCATGCTTCAGCCAACAGTCCAAAACCCTTTAACTTCTTGGTTCTCTTGTCTGAAACTCCTTTCACTACCTTCTTCTTTAATTCATAGGACCAAAGTTTTGTTTGTCATTTTTTTGGCAACACAGTTTTACAGAAAGATTAAAAAATGTTCTAGATAAATTTCCCAAAACCTCAAAATATAGCACTTATTAACAAAATATATTTCCATAACTGGTGATAGACTAAAAGAATTAAATCTTCAAGAGGGTTGATGATTTTTTAGGAAAGTAATTACCTTTTATATGTTTACCATGTCTTAGTAAAACTAGGGACAATATAGGATTAACTGTATTCAAGGAAAGAAAATTAATTATATATAGAACAAAAACAAACTTGATAAAGATTTAAATTAGTTAAAATTTGATGATGGCTTACCTTTATTTTACAAGCATATGTGGAAGTTTCCAATTTTAGATGTTTTTTGTAGAAAATAATATTTTCCTGTTCACTAAAAACAAAAAATAATTTTTTAGTTATGATTAAAAATAAATGTTTCTAGGACAATACTCCATCCTGGGACTGTTTTCGTGGTGAGGCACAAGGAGCTGGGGCTCCGGAATGCATTGCACTGCCTTAAGGACCACAGGGGCCTCTCAGCCTAGCCAAGAGAACTGAAGGAGATAATACAGTCATGGAGCACAGACCATATTGTAAAGTTCAGTGAACACACCTATTATTTTCAACTTGCACTGGACATAGGAAAGCTCTAAATTTCGGTTACATTAAAAAAGATGCAGCAGAATCTTTGTAAGGGGGGAAACGGGGGGCGCCCAAATGATCACGTTTATAACCGGTTAACAACTAGGCGGCTGTGGCAGTCTTAGATTCCCACACCCTTAGTAAGGGGCTTCCTAGAGGATGAGCTCAGTGTTCCAGACTGACTGAGTCATTAATTTGGGGGAAACTCTGGAAGCCAACCCTGTGAGCGAAGAGGAGAGACAAGGAGCACTTGTCAGGGCTTCTCCTAACAAAACTCTTCCACTAACCAGCTGTGACCCACATTCACTTCCACTAACCAGCCCCAAGTTTCCAGGTATGAAAACAACTAGGCTGATCTGCGCTGCCTTTAAGAGGCGGCAAGGCGACCCCGTCTCTGCCACCGGTGCACTTTTAGGTTCCCTCCCCGGGTGACTGGCACGACGTCAGGCAATCTGAACCGTCCCACGCCCGGGAAAGGGGCCGAGGGGCCGCGGCGCGGAGTCACCGACCTGCCCTCCGGGACGGTGCGGGCGCCCTGGCCCCGGCCGGTGCCACAGTACTCCTCTCCCACGTACACCTCCATGTTCCTCGCCGAGCTCAGGACGCCCACCGCGAGGATCTCTTCCCCGGCCCCGGGGTCGCACCGCAGGTCGAGGAAGCAGGGCGTCCTGCCCCGGGGGCCCGGCACGGCGCTCAGGCTCACCAGAGGCTGGCTGAGGAGGTCGGGGCACACGTGACGCCCGGTTTCCGCGGTCGCGCTCGCACCCGCCCGCGCCCCTCCCCGGACCCCCGCGGCCTCGGGACGCGCCGCTCAGGGACGCGGCTGGGCCGCAGCCCCGCAGCCCGCGCCCCTCCCCGACCCCGACCTGCTGCTGGCCGCAGCCAGTCCAGCACTCGCCGGCTCTGCGCAGCCAGACGCACGCGCGCCCTTCCCCGCCCGCACACGCGGGGCTCTAGGCGACTTCTGCGCCGTTCGGGCGGCCAGGAGCTGCCCCTCGTTTCCAAGCGGGCGAGGCGGATGCGCCTGCGAGCGCTCCCAGGTCTCCCGCCCCGCGTCCCCCGCTCGTCTCCCCCGGAGCGTGGCTGTCGCCGAGCGCCACGACCCGGCTCCCCCGAGGCACGGCGCACCCCGAAGCAGGCGGCACCAGCAGCTCCTCCCAGTCGAAGTCCTGGGCGCCGACGCCAGCCCGGGTGAGGAGGAGGCTCCGGGACAGGACCCCGTTCGCGGTATCCCAGGAAGAGGCCAGCGTCGGGCGGCCGGTCATTCCCGAGTCCTCGGCCCCGGTCTCCATTTCGCCGCCTCCGGCCGCAACCAGCCCCGGAACCTCTCTTGCAGGGCTCGAGTTTCGGTCGGTGCAGAGTGGAGTGCGGACGCGCAGCGACTTCCGGCTGTCTCTCTTCAAACCCGGAGCCGCCGCTTCTCTTGCCAGTGTCTAGAGACCTGGGAAGCCGAGGCACGCATGCGCTCCGCCGTGCGACTTCCGGAAGCGGGTTCAGGCGAAGAAGTGGAGGGCGGGGTACGGGGTTGGTTTTCTGATGTTGGCGGGGAGAAGTGCCTGCGGTGTGTTCGATGTGTGCAGTGGGATAGCGGATGTGTGTTCTGCGTGCGCCGCTGCGGGCCTAGTGGCCGCTGTAGTGGACGCCGGGGCCTTTCCCCTGTGGTCTGAGCTGCGCGCTTGGCGCCCCAGGCACCCGTGTCGGGGAGCGGTGGTGACAGATTCGGGAGTTGGTTCTGTCCGCTTCTCCCCGCCTGGCACGCACTGGCGGTGGAGACGGTCGCGGAGGTGCGAGGTGGGGGCTTGTAGGCGCCGCTGGTAATGTCGGGGCCGAGACGGGGCTTACCGGGCCCCCGGTTTCCGGTAGCCCCGATGGGACGCCCTCGGTGGCAGAAATCTAAGGGTCCAGAAGGTCCATTGGGTTTGGTTGGAGAAATGTGCGAATTTAGATTTTTCCTTATATTTGGAATCCCAAGTACATGCGACCTCCTTGTCCTTTCTTTGCACAGCTCATTTTGGAAAATATGTAAACGAGATTCAAAGACAATTTGAATGCCAGTGTTCTTAATTTGAATGCGGGTTTCGCCCTTGTGTTTATGTTACTCTGGTAGAAAATCGAATTTCTGTTCTGGGTCACATTAATTTTTCTTCGTATTTTGGCCTCATGATTTGATAGAAAAATCATTCTTAGTCTTTTGTTCTTAAGTTTTTGGGTTCACATATCAGTATATGTATAACGAGAAGAGATCGCACTGTTGTCTTTTATTTACTTGTAGAATGGTGCCAGAAAAATTATGAATGTAATGTATTTTCTACATTTAATCACTTAACAGATTTGCTTGGATTGAAGGGGAGAAACAATACCAAATGTCTGATAGATGTATAATATAAGGAATTAGATGGTCTTAATTATTAATATTCCAAGGTTAATGGTGGCAAAGATTAATATTCTACATTCATTCCAGGTTGTGTACATCAGTGTTTTTGTCCTATATGTCTTCTTAGGATCATAAGAAGTCTTTGATCCATGTTAACAAGTATTGATCATTGAAAGGAATATAGTCTCTTCCTCTGAAACACCAATTTTCGTTTCATGAGCAAAGGTCGATATTATCTGGATTTTAACTTCCTTAAATAAGAATGAAAGACTGCAAGTCAGAAAATTAATGACTACTATTGTCTCCATTTTCATTTTTATGTTTATATTCTTTTATATCCTTATGTTTATTTTCTTTCATTTCCATATATTCCATGTGTGTTTTTTTTTTTTAGTTCCTACAGAAATTTTTTTTAAACTCTTTGTTTTGAAGTTCTACTTTCATCTGAGCAGTTTCAGGAGTTTTCTTCACCCATAGTTACCCTTTATTCCCATCACCTTCATTTCACCCTTTGCTTTGCCAACTGACCCTTGTGGTGCTTGATGCTCCTGATTAAATTACCATGACCTTTACTTTTTAGCATGGCACATGGCATACATAACTCTTTTTACCCTGCCTGTTTATATCTTCTGTATTTGCATATGAATTTTCTTCTATATAGGTTGCTTTTTTTGGGGTGATGCTGGGAATTGCCCCCAGGGCCTTGTGCATGTGAGGCAAGCACTCTACCAACTGAGCTATATCCCAAGCCCTAGAATGCTCTTTTGGGTAGTAGGAAAAATCCTGTTTATCAGTCAGTACCAAGCATAGTGCTTCACTTTGCAAAAATTAATCACCAGTTCCTCTGTGCTGCACTCAGACTATTTAGACACTATAATTTTCTTGTGGTCTGGGAATTTATTAAATAATGCTTACCTTTGTTTTCTCAATCATCTGAAACAATCATTGACATTAGGGAAGTGTTTTTTTTTTGTTGTTGTTGTTGTTGTTTTTTAAAGAGAGATAATTTTTTTAAATATTTATTTTCTTTAGGGTTCGGCAAACACAACATCTTTGTTTGTATGTGGTGCTGAGGATGGAATCCGGGCCGCACGCATGCCAGGCGCATGCGCTACTGCTTGAGTCACATCCTCAGCCCAGGGAAGTGTTTTATGCCTTGCTGAAGTGTTAAGTACATATTTGTTTTATGAAATTGATAAGGTTTCAGAGGTAGAGGTTACTTGGACATCACAATGTAAGAAGACTAGAAAAAGGAGAAACTAGGAAATTGTATCTTACACTTATTTTTATTGTCAGAGTCATTGTGCTGATGCACAGGTGGCCTTGGCTTTCCTGTGTGTGTGTGTATGTATGTGGTGCTTGGGATGGAACCCAAGGCCTGCTGTATGCTAGGCAAATACTCTCCCGTGAGCTACATCTCCAGCCCTACACTTCAGTTTTAATGTACCATATTATTTCTGTCATGCATTGTAAATGATTTTAAAAATATTTTTCTCACATGAAGGATAAACAACTTAAATGGAACCTCACCACTGGCATCACAAACTGTGTTTTTTTTTTTTTTTTTTTTTTTGGTTGACCATTTTAAGGAGCAGTTTATTATAACATGTTAATATAGAATGTGGGTAGGGATCATATGTTTGTTAACAGTGTGCCTGTACACAGTGGTTCTTAAACTCTTTGGTCTCATGTTACTAGGAGTTTCTAGGGAATAGGGGAGACCAAAGTAATAATACATTCTTACTGTATTTAAAATTCTAAATACTTTTGATTGGGTGGCCTGTATTTCTAATTTTTGGAAACCTGAACACTTCTTTTTCAGCTCTGACATGGAACATCTTAAAAGTTATCACAGTTATCTTCACAAAAAGAAAAATTTCGCTGAAAAACAGAAAATCAATATCTTTAAAAAAAAATCTAGCAGATAATTAAGGGAAAAATGGCCACCCTAAAACTAGAGATGTAGGGAAATGCAGAAAATAACAATTGAGATTAGCTTATCAGGAATAAAATTCTTTTTGAGGCAGTGAGTGGTAGGAACATTTAAGGTAGATCATTTATGAATTGCTGGAGGCAAGTAAAATTCTTGTGAGAAAAATTCCTAGGACCTCATTTGTAGGAAGCCTGTGTACTTTACAGGGTTTTATATCCAGGAGCTCCACCAGGTTTTCAGAAAAGGAGACACATCCCCTTTTGCTTTGTTCAGCGGCAGGGAAGAAGTAACCACTTTGAAGAACTATCCACAGCTTTCTCCTTAACAAAGGCCTCAAGAGAAGCTACTAGAACCTTATGTGATTTGGAGGAAGGGCAATTAGACAACTCAGGGTCTTTCTAGCCTTCAGTCTCATAGGAGGGTAGGGAAGGCTAAAGAAGTGCTTTTTAGGGTGACAGATGAGGGATTCTGCTTACTGAATAAACAGATTTTCGTAAGTTGATAGAAATACCCCCTCTACCCAGTTCCTTACCACCACATTGATAGGTCTCCAGTGGATTACAATTGAGAGTTGCAAGACCTCATGTTACTAGGAGTTTCTAGGGAATAGGGGAGACCAAAGTAATAATACTAAAGGGAACTGAAGCTTTTGATGCCTTCAGCTACAAAAACATTAAACACAGTTTAACTTCTTATCAGGTCAACATAAACTTCACATGAGAAGCCTGATGACCTTAGGTCCTATACATTCCACCAAATCATATTTTTCATCAAAAAATAAAGCATGATCCCAGGTATCTTAAGGAAGGCTAAAAAGGTTAAAAAAAAAAAGCATTAGAATAATTTGTAGATATGACATTGATTTTTGAATCATTTTAGTCAACTTTTTCTCTGCTGTGACTAAAAGGACCTGACCAGAATAATTAATTATAGGGGAGCAAAGCTTATTTGAAGGCTTATGGTTTCAGAGGTCTCAATTCATAGACAGCAGGCTCCATTCCTCAGGGCTCAAGGTGAGGCAGAACATCATGGTGGAGGATAGCAGCTCAAATCATGATTAGGAAGCAGAGAGAGACAGGTCAGATATAAATATAAATCCCAAAGCCATGCCCCAATCCCACCTCCTTCAACCACACCCTACCACTCAAGTTACCAATCAGTTAATCTCTATCAGGATTAATTTACTGATTAGGTTAACACTCTCACAAACCGGTCATTTCTCCTCTGAACCTTTTTTGCATTGTCTCATAGTGAGTTTTTCAAGAACACCACATCCAAACCATAGCAATTATCAAATAGGGAATATAAGTAAGAATGGATCTAATGGGGAAAGTATGTTGCATGCAAGAACAGATGGGTAATGCAAGCAAAGAATGATAACTTGCTAAGAGCCATAGCCAAGTAGTATGATGCATGGCATTTTTGGTTGAAAGGTGACGCCAGCAAGCCATTGAGATGATATGATTATGTTAAGATCTGCATTCATATGGATATTAGACCCCTGCTGTCCACCTTGGCCTGCTACGGGACTCCTGGAGAGTTCCCATTGGTTGGGGAAGTGCCGTAGGAGGGAATTCCGGAGGAGGGATTTCCTGTTGCCCGCTCGGGAGAACCATGGGTCGGTTGGCATTTTTTCCCCAGGAGCATACGGGGCATTGGCGGGGAGTTTCAAAAAAAAAGTTTGTTCCTGTTTGAGTGGCTCGTGATTTTGTGCCCAGCCAGACTGCGGCAATAACTCTACAGATAATTTAAAGAGACGTGATGTCAAAAGCACTGTGACAGAAGTGAAGAATGCCTTTGGTGGATTTATCAAGAGGCTGGATAAGCTAAGGGAGAAAATCAGTGAGCTTGAAGATAGGTCAATATAAACTTCCTCAGCTGGAAAGCAAAGAAAATAGAGAATGAAAACAACACCTAGGAACTAGGAAACTTGTAACATGGAGGTAAGACTATCAGAAGAAAAAGAAATGTTAAATAATATTGGCTAGGAATTTTCCAAAACTAATGATGGTCACCAAGCCACAGATGCAGGGATGTCAGAATATCAAGCAATATAACTAAAAAATATCTATGTTTACACATATAACAAGTTTCAGACAATCAAAGTCCAAAAGTCATTGAAAGAGGCCTCAAGA